AAAAAAAAAAAAAAAAATCCCACCCCCCCCCCCCCCTCTATTTTTCAGTCTAACTCTTCGTTTTCTTTCTCCTTTTTTTGTCATTTCTTTTGTTTATTAGTCTAACTCTTCGTTTTCTTTCTCCTTTTTTTGTCATTTCTTTTGTTTATTAGATGACCTTTCAAAATTTTCTTTTATCTTCTATGGTGGTTTAGTTATCCTCAATTCTTCATTTAACCCTCTACAATTCTCTAGCTTCCGTTTACCGTCTTTGGCAGTAACAATGAAATATATGCGTATTTTTTTGCTATAATTTTTATGCCCCTTGTATTTTTTATTTTTTGGTATTTTTTCAATTTTATTATGAATTTTTAAAATTTATCTGGTTTTCCAATTGTTACATCTCGTTTTTGTTATAATGATGCTTTGACTTCTCTCACTATTTTCGAGCGTCCTAGACTAGTATATCGTTTACAAATATTTCTTTATATTTTCTTTATTTGAAAATAGTTTTTGGATGATAACTCGATGTTTTATCTTCTTTGATGAAACTAATTACCTATAAGCATGAAAGGCTAATTGTTTGTATAAAAAAAAGGAATAGATATGTAGACTTGTGATATTTGATTATTTGAAAGTTTTAATTTATTATTTTTAATATTTTGTAGAGTTTTATCAATAATTTATAGGGGCCCATTTTTTAGAGTTAATTGTCCAATGATCATTTAACTTATGTTTTTGTTTTCGACTGTTTATTGAAATTTATAGTGTCGAGTTTTGATAACTAAACTTATCCAAATATTAGACATTATTCACAATCATAACATCAATTTCAAACATCAACGGAATTGCTGACGTGATTAATGGAATACACACGTGGCATCTTGTTACTTTGTTACCAAATTGCTCGTAAGAAATCATCTTTCATTGCTCACTAAAATTTGGAAAACATATTCGATTGCTCACCATACTTTCACAAATTTATTTGATTGCTCATTGAATTTTGAGGTTGTCAAATTTTAGTTATTAAAGTTATAAGCCTTATAAATTTTGGTTATAGGCATAAGATCTTTCCTCAATTTTATTATTTGATATTTATTTTTGTAGAATTCTAAGCTATTTTCATTATTTGCAAAATTCAATTTTTTTGTGTTTCGTGGTTAAAATTAAATTTAACTATTGTGTAATTATATAATTATTCATTGTAGGGTCGACACCTCGGACTTGTTACTTGTACGCGACACGTTGCTTGTAGTACATATTTTTTAACGAATAATAGGCCGACATCATTTGTATAAGCTCAGTGACCGAAATTCGACAACCTCAAATTCAATGAGCAATCGAAAACATTTTCAAAGTATAATGAGTAATTGAAGACGTTTTCCAATGTTTTGTGAGCAATGAAAGTCACTTTTGTTACGGCAAATTGGTAGCGGCGAAATGGGACGCTACCTATGCATAGGGGCGGAGCCTTTCACAGTCCAGTGCAAGCAAATCCGCACTAGACTTTTGGCCCATGCCCATACTCAATCTAATTCTTCTTTTTGTTTTTGTTGAAATATCGGGTATCTCATTTATTTATAGCCCAATCCATATATTAATTTACCTCAACCCAAAATGAAAAAGTTGAAACCCAAGAGAAAATTATAATCCATTTTCTTTTGAAGAAAATATTTTCAAAGTTCTTTTCTTTCCTTAAATCCACAATCCATTGGACCCTCAAATTTGCAGCAAAAACTTTCTTGATTGAATATTGGTAATATTGTGATGGATTCTTAAAATCTTGATTATTGTCAATTATTTAAACAATTAGTGTTGATTTTCTGGTGTTCTACCAATTTGTAAAAACTAGTAGTTATTTTTTTTATCAATTACTATTTAATTGTCACATATGGTTCATTTTTGCATGAAGTGCCAATGTAGAGATTCTTTAAAAGAAAGTCGTTTGTAGAAAATGTTGATGATGAAATATCGAATAAAAGAGATTTTCATGTTACACAACTTGCTACTAATCCTAAAATAAGGAAAAAGATAATCATTTTATTAGTGTTGTCGCTATGTCATTTTTAACGTTGTCGTAATATCATTAAATCCATGATCGAAAAGTTTGACCTTAAAATTTTGCCCGCACTTGGACAAAATTCTTGGCTCCGCCTCTATCTATGCATTCCGTTAGCCATGTTACCAATTCCGTTAGAAGTTTAAAACAAATGTCATGTCAATGAATAATGTCCAACATTTAAATAAATTTAGTGGCCAAAACTCAATATATTAGAATTTAGTGAGCAATCGAAAACAAAAATTTAAGTTTAGTTATTATTGGGCAATTAACACCATCAACTTAGCCTCTAAAATTTCAAGGCCGACTATTCAGAAAGCAACTTTTTGGGCTCATTGGTTTAACATTTCTACTTTTGTTAGTTAGTTAGTCTAAGCTCAAACCTGTCCCTAAGCCCAATTAATTTTGTAAAGGCAAAAAAATTAAGAAAATTCATTTTTTTCTAATGAATATTTTTTTAGGGTATCAGTTCATTATAATTTTTTTTTGTCCCCTCGGCTCCGCCCTTGTATAAAAATAATATGTTGACCATTCTCTCTCGACTCTGGACGTCTATCTACTTCGAAGTTACATCTTAACATTGTCAAAGAAGAAGCTTAGGCTAGTTGGTTCGAATTGTTGGATTTTTCTATCATTTATCTGCACTTTTACATATTCTATCTAGTTCAATAACAATATGTTGCACACGAAAACAAAATTAGATAACTGCAGTCTTAATGCTTGTATCTCATAGAGAAGCTTTTATGTAAACTTCAATCTACTCTCAATATACCATAGTCTTCGTCTAGAATCACAGATACAATCTTCCACTCAAGCAGCCTCCCAGAAGCAGTCGAGCATAATTAGATTGATATACTCCAAAGTAGAATTAATTACCAACAAAATACATGAGAAATTACACACCATTCAACTTCTTTGCAAAACATGGATAACCATAGCTCTTATTCAACACAAAAACAACATCTTTCCTAAGCAGCAGATGTAGCAGTTGCGTCCTAAAAACTACTATTTCCAAACTTGTTATCTTTAGCTTTACCATTACCAGAAGGAACATTGAGACTATTTTTTCTTGTAATCCAATGTTTTGTCATTGTAAATATCCCACCATTTATCTACTAGCATCTTAATTTCTTCTCTGTCCATGTTATCTTCTTTGCCAGTGTACCTCCATGGCTTTGAGCCTTTTGCACAAAAGTGAACTACTTTTGCCATTTCGAGCTCGACTTCCTCTGGATGGCACCACAACATCGCTACCAACGTGTTGTAAATGGGAGAAATCGGCGTGCAAATGTCTCGAAAATACATGTTCAGAAAGTCCTACAAATGAAACGGTTTGGATCCATTTAAGTCAAGAAATCAGAACACTTGAATGAATGATGTATGTAGTATTTTTGAAATAGATGAAAAGAAAACATAAGCTATCTAAGCAATCTTATACAGCATATTCAGAGTATACTTTGTGCTGGATATGCCGTCATTGGTCCACACTACTAGACACTATTGACTAGTAGAAGAATTGAATTTGGTCTTTCTTTAATCCTATCTAGTACTATCTTGTCCAACATAAAATATATATCATATATTTGGGGTAATTACATGATAATATTGCGTGAAGTAACAAGCGTTTCCTTCTTTTGTTCTATAAGTTATAGTGTTGTCTGCATAATTAACATGCCATAAGCACATGATTAGTACTTGATGTTGTAATTGTTGTTCAAAATAATATTGATTAATAATTGGGCCACTTAAATGGGCCTAAGATATGATGGAATTGAAATGAAAAAATTTGGTTGATACGCACGTACTGTCTGCACACACTGAAGCAAAAAATGCTTCTACCGTGCTCACACATGGCTTATTACCATGCATACGCATGGGGATAAAAACTAGTTATTAAGATTGATTTTCTTGTTTATTTTTTTGGCAGCTTTTCATTTAAAATCTTAGCTTTTCATGAATCATCAGAGCCTTTTCATAGTGTGTTGATGAAAAATTATATATAGAAGATAGTTTTCCATTCCTAAACACAATCAATACTTTAAAAATAAACAATTCATTCCAAAATCAAGAGATTTCTTCAATTCTTAAAAAATATTCAAACCTCCTTTGTGTTCATTTAGTACTGGAAGTAGTACACCAATGCTTAAGTGTTTTCTTCTTCAAAGCTTGATTCAATCCTATAAACTATTTGTCGTAAGTCCCTTTAAGCATCAAATTGATCCTAGAGGGGACAAATATCGTTTGAAGACAACGACTATGTATTTGATCCTTTTTACCATATTTTGGTGTTCTTGCTTCATCTTCTTCTTTTTTTTTTTTTTGTCTCTCTCTCTCTCTCTCTCTCTCTCCATTGTCTTTGAATTACATTCCAACAGTCTCAAATTATAATTTCTGTGGAAAACTAGACAACCATAACCTACAATCAAACTCACGAATCTAGATCTTGTTTGGTTGGATCGATTTGATGGAACAAATTTCACTCGGTGGCAAAACAAGTTGAAGTTTCTTTTCACGAAGTTGAAGATTTTGTACATATTAATTTTCTTTTGGTCTACTTTCAGAACCATCAGATAAAAATACCAATGCCATAATAGCAAAAAGACGAAAGCGTCAAAAGAATGAATTGATTTGTTGTGGTCATATACTTAATGCACTATCTGTTAGGTTGTATGATCTTTACACCAACAAATCTCCGGCAAAAGAAATTTGAAATGCTTTAGAGAACAAATACAAAACTGAAGAAGAACGTATAGGATATTCTTGATATTAAGGTATTTCGATTTTAAGTTTCTTGAGAATATTCTCCTTATTCCCCAACTATACGAATTACAAGTTCTTGTCAACAAATTAAAGGTGATCGAGGTTGAACTTTTGGATTCCTTCAAAGTGAAAGTAATCATTGCTTAACTCCTTGAGACTTGGAAATGATATTGAAAGACAATTCTTCATAGCTTCAAAAATTATTTTTTAGAACAAATTTAGAAACATCTTCGAATTGAGGAATAATCAAGGATAATTGATAAGAGTGAAAATTCTTATGAGGGTACTTCAAAGGCCAAAGGCCAATGTCGTGAAAAAAAAAATCGAACCCTTCAACAAACAAAACAAGAGGAAATCTTCTAATAAGGACTATAAAAAGTCTAAGAATCCCAAGGGAGATCGTTTTGTTCGCGAAAAACATTGATCTTTTGCAAAGGAAAGTCGACATCGAAAACAATATAAGAAAAAAGGAAAAGTGAAATCCATTGATGAAGATAATATTGTGGCTATCATGAACAAAATCATTGCTATCAAGGGCAAAGTTCCCAGTTTATGTATCAAATGATAAGTCACTCTTCATGATTTATCATGAATCAAATAGAGAACAAATGAATAACGAATGTCACTCCAAAGTGATTAGGAAATGAAATGTGGACGTCATCTTCACTTCTAGAGAAACCATTACTCTAACAAATGTATACGTTCCAGAAATGAATAGGAACTTAATTAGTAGAGATCACTTAAAAAATTGGGCATTAAAAGTGTTTATGACTCCAAAAAAGTTGTACTATCCCTAAATGAAAATTTGTTGAATAATGCTATTCTAATGAAGGAATAATCAAATTGAATATTGCTGACAATAATAACAATAACAAAACAACAAAAATAATAATTGTAATATCTTGAATGAGATATTTGTCGAAAAATGCTATTCTAGTGAAGAAATGATTAAATTGGGTACTATTTACAATAACAACAACAACAACAACAACAACAACAATAATAATAAAGTTGATTTTTCTTACTTGACTTACTCTTTTACATTGTGGCATGCTATATTAGGTCATATAAGTGTTATTACATTGAAAAGAATTTTAAAATATGATATGCTTTTATATAATGCGAATAATGCTAATGAATATAGAATGTGTAGAATCTAAAATGGTAAAGAAGCCTTATCAAATTACAAATAGGACTCCACATTTTAGAACTTATTTATTCGGGCATATATGAACTAAATGACATGTTAACTAGAGGAGAAAATAGATATTTTATTACATTTATAGATGACCACTCTAGATATCTTATGTTTATTTAATGAAACATAAACATGAAGTCTCTGATATGTTTAAAACTTATAAAAATAAAGTTGAAAATTATTTAAACAAGAAAATAAAAATACTTAGAAGTGATAGAGGAGAAGAATACTTTTTTAGTGATTTTAACTCATTCATGTCAACAAAAAATGGTATATCACTATTTAACACCTTGGACATTTGAACAAAATGGTTTGACTAAAAGGAAAAATAGAACATTAGTTGAAATGATAAATATCATATTACTTATGATAAGTTGTCATTTAACTTGTGGGATGAAACTTTATTGAGTGCATATAGAATATTAAATAGGATTTCTTCAAAATTCATAAAGCTTAGAAACCTTTATGAATTTTGAAAATGAAGAAAATGAAACATTGAATATTTCAAAGTGTTGTAAGAATTTGAACCCTAAAAGGACCAAGTTTGGTCCAAGAAGCATCAAATGTGCTTTTGTTAGTTATGTTAGTGATATCAAATCATATAAATTATTAAATTTGGAGACCAATGTGATAACGGAATCAAATGATTCGGAAATTTTTGAGAATTCACTATCTTTGGATAATGACTTAAAGAAAACTCATAATGAGATTTCTAGCTCTAGTACAACACAAGATGAAACATCTTCTCAAGATGCTGATAAATATAATGAGCCTCGAAGAAGTAAAAGAACTCGTATTGAAAAAACATTAGGACCAAATGAAATTGATTCTCAACTTATTTTATTTTACTTAGTAGAGGTAAATGAGAAGAATATTATTAGAACAATACATTTTGTTCCATAAGTGAAAATTGATCCTAAAACCTATTAAAAAGCTATGACTTTTTGTAATAATATCTTTTGGAAAGATGCAACTAAATGAGTAATTAGGAGAAAATATTATATAGATGGTTCTCTTAATTCCTTTAAAGCTAGATTCATAGTTAAAAATTATCGACAAAAGGAATGAATATATTATTTTTATATATATGCAACGGTAGCTAGAATAACATCAAGTAAGATATTATTCGCATTATCATCCATATATGACTTGCATGTTCGTAAAATGGATGTTGATACAACATTTTTAAATAGGGATCTCGATGAATAGGTTTATATAGAGCAATGGAAAGGGTTTTGTTTTATCCGAAAGTGAATATAAAATATGCAAGTTAGCAAAATCGTTATATAGTCCAAAACAAGCACCAAAGAATTGCCTGAGAAATTTGATTAGCAATAGTTTCTTTTGGTTTCGTGCATAATAGTGTAGATAAATATTTTTATTTCAAAGTATGTGATAAATATGTAGCATTTATTTGTTTATATGTCAATAACATGTTGATTATAAGTAATCATATGAACAAGATAAAAGAAATAAAGAGATTTCTATATTTCACATTCAAAATAAAGGATTTTAACAAGTAGATACCATATTGGTTATCAAAAATAAAAAACTAGAGGGGACTATTATTTAAATCAATCACATTATATAGAAAATGTAATAAATAAGTTCAGCACTTGAATATAAAAGAGTTTAGTATCCCTCTTGATCCAAGTTCTAAGGTTATAAAGAATGATGAAAAAGCTATTGTTCAACTTGAGTGTACAAATGCTATAGGTAGTCTTATGTATACAATTCAATCCACAAGATCATACACAACATTTATAATTAGTACTAGTCTTTGATATGTGCATTACACGAGTTTTGTATTTTTATTAGTGTCAAAATTGTAGATTTTTTTATTTATAAGTAACTTCTTACATTTTACAAATATTTTTTGTTTGTATTTTTATTTATTAATAATTTCTTACATAAAAGTGATTGTTGGAAATAAATAGTGATAGCAAAAAATATCAACAAATAAAAATATTACTAATAAACAAATTCAAAGAAAAAAATTAATCTCGATGCTTGGAAATCTCAATCCTCCATAATACGGAGGCTTGATCTCTCCATAACAAGAGACTTGATCTCTCCAGATCAAGCCTCCGTGTCACGGAGGATTTTCCTCCGTGATACCGAGGCTTGATCTCATGGAGAGATCAAGTTTCCATAATAAATATGAAGAGATTCATTTGATATTTTTTTTATTTAAATGATATTTTATAGATCATTTATTTAACATATAAGTTAATATTTAATTTTAAAAATTAAATATATTTAAATATTTACTCCAAATTTTTAAGTTAATATATTGTTAAGTTACAAGTAATTTTTACAATTATAAGGTTTTTTTTTTTACTTTTAAATAACTTTAAGCGAATTTTTTTTTACATATAGTTATGGAATTCATACTTTTGCTCTTGAATTAACCCCCTCAATAAATTATTAGTTAAACGGTTCGTAAATATTTTGATTGATATTATTTTTTGATCATCCAAATGGTTACTATATACCTTTTACGTACATATATAAAAATAATATTTTTATTTATTAACAAATGAATATATTTATTTTTCGAGAAATGAGTTTTTAATATCATTTCATTTTTATCATGAAATGATTCTAATCTTAATAAGTTAGATTGTGCTTCAAAATTATATAATCTATCAAATATAATTTTTAAAATTACTTTTTATAAAGTAATATATTTTTATGATTTTTTTTTAGTAAAGTGAAATACAGTAACACAAAAAAATAAAAAATAATTAAATTTTATTAATTTTATAATATAATAGGTTATGGAGGCTCATACTTGAGCCTTCATAATTTTGGAAGCATCAGCATGAGCCTCCATAATGCTCCATAACAATTATGGAGGCTCAAGACATGAGCCACCGTTACATGGAGGCTCATGCTTGAACCTCCATAACATGAGCCTCTGTTACACGGAGGTTCATGTTTGAGCCTCCATTATTACTTTATCAAAAAAAAAATCATAAAAATATATTACTTTATAAAAATTAATTTTAAAAATTATATTCGATAAATTATGTAATTTTGAAGCACAATCTAACATATTAAGATTAGAATCATTTCATGATAAAAATGAAAAGATAATAAAAACTCATTTCTCGAAAATAAATATATTCATTTGTTAACATGTTTGATCTTCATTTTTTAAAATTTATTTTTTTTTTCAAATATATTTTCAATCATATATTTATGGAATTCATACTTTTGCTCTTAAATTAACCCCCTCAATAAATTATTATTTAAACGGTTTGTAAACATTTTAATTGATGTTATTTTTTGGTCAACCAAATGGTTACTATATATCTTTTACGCACATATATAAAAATAATATTTTTATTTAAACTTACTTATGTGCTCAAAAATAAACTTTCTAAAGATACATGGTTGATAGCGTGAGAAAATAGTGAAAGAGATAATGTAGAGAAATAGAGAGGCATGACTGTAGCGTGTAAAAATGGAGAAAGAGTAACCTCCATTATTTTATATATTTTTATTTTAAGAATATTAAAAAAATTAAGTTGATTAAATAAAATTAAATTATTGTACTGAGAGTCAATGATAGAAAAAGAAAATAAAAAAATACACGTTGGAGCCTCCGTAATTACGAAGGCTCCAGAATTCTAGAGGCTCAAGCATGAGCCTCCGTAATGAGGCCTCCAAAATTACGGAGGTCTCAACATGAGTCTCCGTTTAATGGAGGCATTACAGAGGTTCATGCTTGAACCTCCATAACATTACTTTATTAAAAAAAAATCATAAAAACATATTACTTTACAAAAATTAATTTTAAAAATTATATTTGATAGATTATGTAATTTTGAAATACAATCTATCTTATTAAGATTAGAATCATTTCACGATAAAAATAAAATGGTAATAAAAACTTATTTTTCAAAAAATAAATATATTCATTTGTTAACATGTTTGGTCTTCATTTTTTAAAATTTATTTTTCTTCAAACATATTTTCCACCATATATTTATGGAATTCACACTTTCGCTCTTGAATTAGTGTGGAGAAATAGAGAGGCATGACTGTAGCATGTAAAAATGGAGAAAGAGTAAAGAGGACTCTATGACATAATCCTCCACGCCGCGTAAATTGAGGAAAAGCAACAAAGTCATTGTATCAAACACGTAAGATAAACGACGTCGTTGCTTTCTCTGAATAAAAAAAAAAGCTACAGTGAGACAAATGGAAGAACCTATTGTTCTTTCTACAGTAGTGAAACATTGTACTTTTTATATAGTAGTGAAATTTAGTAAATTTACTAATATTCTAAGCAAGGAACATTAGAAGGCCATTGGAGAGTTCTTGATTATTTAACGAAAATAAAAAACTTAGGTCTATAATATTTCAAACTCCCAATTATATTAGAAGGATTTACTGATGTTGGTTGGATATCTAGTAATGGTAAAAAAAAAATTTAATTCGAGTTGGCTGTTTACTCTTAGAAAATTTCTGTTTTTGTTTTTGTTTTTATTTTTATTTTTTTGCTTTTGCTTTTTTGGTTTTTGGTTTTTTTTTTTTTTGGTTTTTTTTTTTTTTTTTTTTTTTTTGCTTTTTCTTTTTTGGTTTTTGGTTTTTTTTTTTTTTGGTTTTTTTTTTTTGTTTTTGTTTTTGAGATCTTAGTAATAAATATGCATAAAACATTCAACAATGAAATCTAATTTTGTGGTATTAATTGAAACCAAGAAAGAAGTTGGGTGACTTAAGGATCTTCTATATAATATACTTTTGATTCCGAAGAATACATCTTATATATCTATCACATGTGATAGTCAACTCCACATTAGCAAAAGCATATAATGAAGTATACAACGAGAAGTCTCGACGTATAAGTCTAAAGCATTATTATTGAAGGAAATTAATCAATAGTTAAATAAATTTTCTAAGTATGTTAAATCAAATAGGAACGCTGGGTTAAAACTAAACCTCTTAGTAGAGATTTATTAGTATTTCCTTCGAAAGTGATGGGGGTTAAAACTCCTAAATTTAAATAATAATAATAATAATAATACGGCAACCCTACCGTCATTACTAAAACAATAATCTACAGATTCAAAGAATAACAACAAGTCATTTGATTAGTGGATAATTTCAGTATTATGATTTGTGTAAGAACCCATCCTAATTATATAATGCTGGTAATTACTTGAATGAGGGTTGAATTTTAAACTCTTAATGAAATTCAATACTAAGTACAACATTTATAAATGTAACAAAGATACTGAAAGAACTTTACCTAGATAAACTTAGAAGTAATGCCGCTTCAATAAAAAGTTGGAGTTTATCTCTTAAAAGTTCAACGAACAGGCCGCTAAGCAAGTTTGAGGAACTTGTGAATAATACTTGTGCATGTATTTTCGTCGATATCATCACAAGGAATAACTGGATCAATGTTATCATACTACCAGGATTTCCGAATATACATTATGGAAATTATATTATGGTTAAATTTAAATCAAAAAATATCTAATCTTTATGCATAAGTGTTACTATTTTGCATATGTGATCGATATAATTTTGAACAAGTGGGTTCAAAATCATATTGATGAAGAATTGGACCACTTAAATGGGTCTAACATAAGATGGAATTGAAATGAAAAAATTTGGTCGATAGGCATTTTGGCCCATCAACAGAAATTGAAGCAAAAATTGGTTATACCATACTCATGCATGTGAAACTAGCCGTTAAGGCTTATTTTTTTGGTAGCTTTTCATGAAAAATATTAAGTTTCCATGAATCACTGATACTTTTTGTGGTGTACTGATAGAAAACTATATATAGGAGTTAGTTTTCCATTCCTAAACACAATCAATAATTGAAAAACAAACAATTCATTCCACAATCAAGAGATTTCCTCAATTCTCAAAACATATTCAAACCCCATTTATGTTCATTAAGTTTTGAAAATAAAACACTAGTGCTTAAGTATTTTCTTCTTTAAAGCTTGATTCAATCCTTCAAATTATTTTTCTGTGAGTTCCTTTAAGCACCAAATTAATACTAGATGGAACAAATATCGTTTGAGGACAATAATTACGTGTTCGAGCATTTTTACCATATTTTGGTGCTCTTGATTCTTTTTCTTTTGTTTTCTTTTCCATTATCTTGGATACATTTACCAACACTTGATACTAAATAGTATGACCACGATGGAATTAACTTGTTCTCCCTATCCGACTACACAAACACACTACGCACAAGATAGAACACAAATTTGAACTTATTTTTCTTTTTCTTTTTCTTTTTTATTTATTTTTATTTTTTTATGACGGGAAATCCGCAGCCGCTACCCTTTTGAGTGCGCACTCGGTTAACCCTCGGGTTGATGCAATAGCCTACAAACCACACTAAGCAAGCTCTGTGCGACAGGCTCGATCGAGAAAGTTTTGGTAGAGAGAATTGAACTCGTGACCAAAAGCCTCCACGCTCACCTACTCCACCAACTCGGTCACCCATGAAGGGCTTATTTTTCTTTTTAATCGCATCTGATATTGTTCAGTCTAAACTCTAATGTAACAAATATGCCACGCGGTATATGTTAAGTTAATTACCTGCTCAGCAAAAGGGGTAGCAGGAGTTATTTTGAGCGCCTTCAAGAGATTATGATAAGTGAAGGGATTGGGCTCAAAAACAAACATGCCAGCATTAAAATAGAATGGGGGCTTGGAACCCAACTCTTGAGGCCATTGAACCTTCTCCTTGCACTGTTTACCATGCATCTCACATAAGCAGTCCATTACAGCATAAAAACTGCCATGTTCTAACTCAAACAGGTGGTCAATGTTGCCAAAAACTTGTACATCTGCATCCAGGTATATCATTTTCTTGTATTCTGCAAACTGCACTCCAAATCAAAAAACTTTTTGTACATCATATAGACTCCCATCATGCAATAAAATTGCATGTTTGGTACATCGAGTTGGATGAATTTGAAGATGTAAACGTATGGTCCAATTGTTCTTACCAAACATGCAAATATACGTGGTTAAAAAATCAAAATACAAATAAAAGAAAGAAGGCATAAAAGCTAACATTCCAGAGGCTAAGTTTGGAGTAGTTGACAGCATAATACGCCCAAGCAAACTGAGAGTCAGTCTCTTTCTCAGGGGGATAAACAGTCTCAATCTCACGGACCAAACAACCTTGTTCCACCAGCATGCGGCGGTGCTCCTCCGGCACATCGTGCAGAACCGCTACCACAATTGGGTAAGCAGCCTTCACTTTCCTCAAACCCTTAGCCAACCCCACCACTCCTTTCACATAATCGCCATCCCCAGCCAAGAACGTAACATAGGCATGACTCGGATGGGATTCTTGCTTGGATTTTATTGGAAAATTGTTCATTATTGGATTTCGAAAGATTTGGGTTGTTCGGCAAAATGTTTTTTCGAAAACAGATTTGATCTTAAAGAATTAATGTAAGTTGACAGTTGAGGGACCCTGATTCGTTTGGTTGTGTATATACGATTGACAAGTGTAATACCCTCGCTTATGACTCAAAAGACACCGAACAAAAAAATACCCTATAGTCCAATTGGTTTAAGCATGGAATTATCCTTTTACTATAGCATTTCAAGATTATTTTGTTGGGACATAGGTTTCGTCCCCTAAATAGTTAGAAAGGATACAAGTTCAATCAAAGTTTAACTCTGTCACTGGGTTAGAAATTCTCAGATTTTTTGGGTATATGTCAAAATTTGTCTTGTGCATACAAGCAGACAGAGTATGTATAGGTCTGCTTAACAAAGGATTCAAGTAATAAAAAGGATAGTTTTGAAATGAAATTCATGTTTCCATAGGTTTTTTTTTATGCTTTTTCTCTTTAATTAAAAAAAAAATTAATTGATTTAAAAATTCAAAATAATATTAAAATAAGAAAGCACTTTTTTCTACAATTTTTTTACACTTGGACCTCGCCTAGGCTAACCAAGGTCGAAACTTAGCTTTCATGCTTTATCATGCGTCGCTTTACACTTTTTAGAATACTTTTATATTCTCACATGTCCCACCGCTTAAAATGTCACCATCCACAATGCAATAAAATATTCACAATTTCAGGTTCTTGCTTTAGCTTTGGTTGTCGCTATTTATGATACTCACAATATCAAAGGGACATGGTGTCTTTATTTTTCAAGATAAAAGATTCAATAATTTTAAGGGGAATTATAAAAAATGTCACTTTTTTTGAAAATGCATAAAAAATTTGCATGTGCACTTAATTTTATTAAAAATGTCACTTTTTTGTGGAAAATGTCCAACTTACCCTTCATGTCCCCTTTTGAAAGTACTATTAATCATGATGCTCCTCATTTTTGAAATATATTTGAAGGGAAAAAATACCAAAAAGATTTATGCAAATGTTAAGTGGTAGCAACCTTACCAAATCGACTTTCATCTGCATTTGAATCATACTACACAGTGGTAGCAGCCTTACCAAACCGAAGTCGAAGTACGGGTCGGTGATTAAATTGTCGAACATAGAAATATGAAGAATAAGACTACGCATTAACAGATATTCTGACTTCATCCAACAACGTCGAACGATGATCAACTATCGCGTATCTCATATAAATTCATTGTTTCTCTTGTGACCCCAGTAATGTGTAAAGCAGTCATACATTTTAGATAAATAAATAATAATAACATCAATATGATCAAAGTTATCATGGAAGTCAATTGATGAACGCAATTTTTCATAATTGTCATCGTGCACATGGATCTCTGACCACTTCATGTGGGAAACAAAAATGATATTTCAAGGCGAAAATGAATTCATCAATCAAGCACAATGAACAAAAAATACGAAACAAACCACTGAAACTGGAATACAGAAAATGAATGAATCAATCAAGCATAAACAGCTACAAGTCAATCAACAAATTATGAGATCATAGCATTTCATACATGTTAATGCGAAACACACGTGCAATGTTAGAACCAAAGTTCAAATTGTGGAACTGAACTTAGGTAAAGGAAAGAACTGTCGTTCCCGATAGTTCATCTGTCGAAAACTTCATTTAATCTGTTGATAATTACTGATGCTAACTGTCGGGAACGACAGTCCAGTGGTAAGTGATTTAAAAGCTATGCTGTCATTTCATTCTGACATATTGTCATTTCATTTTCAACATATTGTTATTTCATTCTGACACAATATTCTGACACAATACACAGGCTTTGTACAAGGATATATAAGGTATTCAAACAATTCATAGGGTAAAAAATGTCCTAAATTGACATTTTTGATAGAAAATTTGAAAGGTGACATTTTTTATAATGCATAGCCAAATTTTGACACCCAATGAAAATTCCTCTAATTAATTTTAATTAGGCGAAAAATAAATTGTGTGGTACGTAGTAAGTTAACTATGCTAGGAAGACTCAAAAAGGTTCGATATTTAAGTAGAATTTTTTTTGGGGGGGGGGGGGGGGGTGGGGAAAAAAAAAAT